TCTGAACTTTCCTGGTTTTTAAAAGTGAAAACTTGTTAGAAAATAATTCTCTGTTGGTGTGATTAATTGTTGCTGTGTGAGCTGACTTCTTGTTTCCTAAAAAATAAACACACTAGAGACCGTCAGAACACTTAGCTTGAAACTGGAACTTTATCTTACACTGTTTTCATGACTAAACTGCTGARAATTAATATCGTTATACAATTCTAGTGTGCATTAAAGCACATTACACAGTTTCTGTGATGCACAGCTCATTAGAGTGTTACCAGTTAAGTATTTTATGAATTTAGTGTGTTGTTACAACAATAAACCACTATATCACATACATGTAGCTTACCTTATATCTGTTCCTGCAACACTCAGTAGAAAGATGAAATGTAAACATCTTGTATGCCATTACTGCATGTCATCAACTCTGTGGAAATTATTCATTCACATAAATGTCAACTTGTATGGATTGTCTGTAAATTATAAGGATTTTATGTCATTTTGCAGGTATACGGATTTATAGAGCAATCTTACGGATTTTTTCAAAACCTCATTTTCAAATTTATCTAACATGTCAAAGCCTGTAGGATGATAAAAAAAAATCAAATAACCATCTTCCAACCTGTTCTGGCGCTAGAAATAAGTTCTGCACTTTTTCCGCTCTCCTTTCCTCCTCAAGTTGTGTGGATTTTTAGCAAAAAACTTATGGATTTTTGAGGCTCTTTATACAGGTAAATGTCCAAAGGGRTTGACATGTATGCATTCATGAGAATCTGTTTCTTCATGAACTATGTTTCAGAACTGTGGTTACCAGTCTAACAAATCTGCTGAGGTTTGTTTCCTGAGCTGGTTTCTCTTTCTTTTGCCTTTCACTTCAAATTGCTAAACTATATAGCTGCTATGAGAAAGCTTAAAATACAAGTCAAAAGGCAGACCAAGAAGGAGACAAAATCTAAAATCAATGTGTCTGTATGGACCACAGTAGTGGGTGGGATGGGAGTTAATATCTACCAGCTAAACTCAATATGAGCCATCGAAGGTTTGATCCACTGGAACTATTTACAGATACATTCACAGCAGGTTACAGAGATAACCAAGGAAGAGATAAATGTGTCTGAAAAAGACCGAGGTGCACCGTGGTTGTCATTCTGGACAACTACAGCATTCATGTTCTCTGTGAGAGACTTGGCTTCACTTCTGTTTGTTATAAGATTGAATCTGACTCTGACCTCTTTGTCTCACTTGTCATTAGAGACTAAGCTGATGTAGCATATCGACCGATGCCAGAACACTATTTTTGTTCCAAGATAAAACAAGAGCAAGAGATTCAGCGCACAACAACAGAGGAACTAATTGAAGATGAAAAGTGTACCATCTGTCATTTCATAACATCTTCTCATGAGCTCCAAAATTAGCACGACAAGGTCAGATGTTAAATGTACTACAGAACAGCTATGGATTAAACCATTTAAACATATTAATACAAATAAGTTAATTTTAAACAGCATTGCTCTTTTAATTGAGACGATTAACATTTTTAAAAGTGATAAGAGACCCTTCATTTTATACAAAAAGAAAAAATGTCAATGAATCCTGGATTTCTGGTATCTTTAAAGAAACCAGGATGTTTTGAGTTACATTTCCCTTTGGGAAAAATAAAGTATTATTGAACTGAATGAATTGTACATTTGAATAAGTTATTATGATCTAATTATGTTGTTATGGTGACAAGAGGCCTAGTTATAATTTATTAGGCAGATGTTATAACTGTATTTGGTTAATTACCAGAGGATAAGAACTCCACATAAAATAGGTAAAATGTACAGTTTACCCTAATAAGAAAGCAGAAAGAATATTTTTTAATTCACTTACATTATTATTCTTATCACTTTACTTTAACAGATTCAGTGACAGAAACCTTAACATCACATCTACTGCATAATTAAAAAATCACAGACTTAATTCATCAATGTCAGCTCATCAGCAAACAAACTCAGCATCATAAAGTCACCCTATTTAGGTATGCATGAAAAGTACACACACACACACACACACACACACACACACACACAGCTGAGTACTTACAAGATAAAGACTGACCTGTCCCTTTTTGTTTTCCAGTGCAGATTTTGCAGAACAATGTTAATGTTTTAGGCAAACAGACTGAGACAAAGCAAGAATAAAAAAAAGGTAATTCTATGTAAAAATAAACCTGGCCGGACAAAAAGCAGAGTAAATGGCTTACTGCGAGAGAAAGGGGGAAATGGGGAGAGAAAGAGGGAGGGGGCGGGAAGACCAGACAGTGATTGCGAGAGGGCGGTGGGAAGAGGAGGAGGAGTGAGCGCCAGTGAAAATGTATAAAAAGAAAAAAAAGTGTAAAATAAATAAATAAAACAGAGTGGGAGGGGTGAGGAGCAGTAGTGAAATTAATAATAAGCATATTTAAAGATGTAATGCTAATTAGTCTTGACATTTTTCACAGCATTTTTAAAGTTTCAGGACCATGGACAGTTCAGAATTTGTGACAGGAGAGTGATYGATACCATTTCATAATAAAAAAAAGTACGTAACGAAAAACACTACAAGAAAAACGAAAACAGCTAAACCAGAGTCAGTTTAAGAGTCAGACTGACTGAATGCACATTAATGCTCTGCTCTAAATTCATACAGAGCAGGTTTAGATATTGCTACACTCTTGACGACGTCAGCTGTATGTTTGTAAAATCAGCTCAATCCAGAGAAAACATCCTGAAATAACGACTGGCTGCGGCATTTACAAGCTAATATTTTCCATCAGGTTACTCAAAGCTTTTTTGTTCCCATTCAAATATTTCATCTAAAGGTTCAAATTAAGCTTCTGTCAGCTACTGCTGGAAGAAGTGATTTCACGGGCTGTGGTCCCACTTTACATGCAGCTGCAAAAAGGCACAGCAGGCATCATGGAGAGGTCAAATAGAAGTGAGGGGGAACAGTGCCCCCTGTTGAACTGACAGTGTTTGGCTCAGGCTGTTGGAAATAACTCAGAAACAAAATTATGTGAAGATTAATCTCACTGCTGGTAGACAGCAAGACTACAGTTGTGACAAAACAACAAGTGCACAGGAGATTATTGGGTCCAAAATAAAACAAAAACAAAAAAATAAAATCACAGCAAGGAATCTCAGGGATGAACTAAAATCTAAAAATCAGCACGTGATCGTAACAGAACAACATCTGCATAAAGAATGTCAGTGTTCAACATTTATTTGGTCTGAAACAAGCAGTCTGCTCAGGGTTTACACTCTCTGCTCACCTGAGGAGATCAATAAAAGCTCTTTGTTCTACTAACAGAAAAGGATGGGTAAGTTAATGAATGTTGACACGCTGCCGCTGATCCTAACTAACCCTCTAACACCACAGAGAAAAAGATGCTCTGACAGCCTGACAACAGACTTCACAGGAATCCAGTGTTGTGTTAGAGTATTATTTCAGAGTTATTTCCTGAAGCAAACATTTCATTTTCTCTTAAAGTGCTCGTTTCATATCTTCTTAAAGCCATCTCACCAGACACACAGACATGAGGTGTAAAGAAAATACAAAATACTAGTGCACAGTATGTTCTTTCTACTGACTTACATCTCAAAGTATACAAGAGGTGTTTGCTCATGAAGTTTTAGTTTAATGAACAAAAACAAATTATAGCTCTCATGATGCAAATTCTACCGATTTAAAGTCCAATAGTTTTGGGATGAAGAAACGATTGAAAATCAATTTTTCCCCTAAGATTAACAGGCTCTTATACAAACCTGATATATGTGGTTGGAAAAAGTGATCTTCCAGCCGTTTTACTGCTGCATTGAATTTATAAATTTGCATGGGCCAGCCTTTTCAGAATTTGATCAATAGTGAGGACTGAAGGCCACAGTACCTGCTGGTTTATTTTGTGTACGTGTGCACTATTCTTTAAAGAACTGACTCAGTGTATCTTTATATATCAGTGGTTTACTGTAAATAAAGTGAAAAAGAAAAACACTTAATCTCATTTGTGTAGAAACCCCAATATTTTAATAGGTTTGTAGGAAATATTTGATTTCAAACAGCTAGAAGGAAAATTATTTGGTATTCTTGAGGTTCATCTCACGATTGATTCTTAGATATACTGTTTATTAAATCAATGTGGCAGCATATTTTTGCTTTAATCCGCAATAAACTGACCAGTTTCCTCCTACTGATGACAYAGACTTTGAGAAATGTATTTTGTAACACCCCAAGAATTCAATTTGTAATAAAAATTTCAAAAAGCAGTCGGTATAATTAAAATGTGCACAAAATCCATAATCATGAAAAAAATTTATGGATCAAGCTACTTAATATTCTAACCTTTTCAAAATATAAATATACCAGGATTCCTTTCCAGCATAAGTGGGTGAGCTTAAAAAGCACTCCTGTTCTCCTCCAGTCTATATTTAGTGATGTTACTTTCAAATGGAGACCAGAGGAATACGTAGCTCGTCTCAATATCTGTAGACCCTGTTTGCTTTTGACTAAAGCACAGACACTCTGGACTGGTGCCAGGATGAGACGTGAAAAACAACAAACCAGACATTTCCCACAGCCTTTTGACCAACAGCACCGAAAACAAGAGCAAGTTCCCTTGGAAAGGAAAGCAGCCTGTTGTCAGGAAAAGCCTGAATGGCAGCTCAGTTCTCACAGTGGCATTAGCATACACCAGTTGTTTGTTGTCTTCTTGTTTTTCCTCAGCTTGACAGAGGAGACACCGCTGCCCTCTCCTGGCTCACAACAGAATGTGAATTACATTAAAGAAGGAGGAGTTGAAACAACTCTGAATACCAAACAGCAGACTACTAAAGGGCACAGACTGAAGGAAAATCAAACACATCCTAATGTGTCCTTTTAATCAAGGACACATTCTGATGGTTACCACCCCCCAGCACTTTTTACACTCTCACTACAAAAAGTCACWTTGTGGTGCTTCAGAATATAAAGTGGCTGCTTGTGACGAGTGCCCTTACCAGACTGATCGTTCATCATGCGGATGGCTTTAGCTTTGGCCAGCTCCAGCGCTGTGACCCATCTCTGCCGCTCCACTTCAGTGCTCGCCTTCAGATGGTAGGTGCGACCGCCGCTGCTCAGCACAATATTGCAGGCATCCTCTGTGTCGATGTGCGCTGTGGCCAGGTTTATTGTTCCACGGCACGTATGAGCCATCTCTGCCTGTGTTCTGCAGAAAAATGAAAAGATAAAATATCAAAGAGTTGATTTGAACAGTCCTTCAATCAATTCAAAAGGACATCCCTCTGAGAACAAGCTGAGAGGACTGCCACAGAAATCAGCTCTGAAAGTAAAGCAGCAGAATAAGTCATTTTACAGAGCGTGCATCATATTTAAAGCACACATTATGAACCCTAACCTAGCATTAGCTGATGTTAGCGTGTTATACAGTATTTCATATAACAGTCTTAATGCCCTGCTGTTAGTGTTGAATGAGAGCCGTTCCACAAAACCAACTGTGCACCGTCAGTGGGCCTTGGTAGTCTTGATAACAAGACCATTGTGCGACTCCAGGCCTCTCTAGTGAACAAAACTAAACAATGAATAGCAGCGCAGACAAAGAGAGAACTGAGCGTGAGAGGATGTTAAAAAACAAAAGAGCGATAACGGAGACAGAGCCATAGCACAGCTACAAATTTATGACAAAATAGAAACAGTTATTTGGCAAAAGTCTTTACAAAACAATCTTGCTGATTTGATTTCCAATGAATCGGACTGCTTAATAAAATGGTATTTTAAAACAGACCAATAGAGGAGTTAATTTGTTGTATGTAAGATTTTAAAAAAAGATTTGTGTTTGTGCAACTAATTTGACAAGTGAAATTTTAAAAAGCCTCGAGGGAAACCCTGCTTGCTTCTAGTAGTTTTGAGAGTGACGCCAAGCAAAACTGCAGTGCGAGAATGGACMAGCATATCTAAAAAAAAAAAAGATTAAAAGAATTAACCAGCAACTAATCAAGAAACCAAAACGATACAATTATTTGCACATTATTTAAGCTCTACGTGTTAAATAAAATAACCCTCTATGCCAAAACTTAACTTTCCAGTTAGAGAAAATTTGCCAACTTTGATTTTTATTCAAGAAGTTGGAGGGGTGCAACAAACTGAAGGATGACTTCTTGTCTAAAAAAATAAATAAAATAAAAAAAGGTTGATAGGAAACAAGTCAATAACGTCGATGGCACAAAGAAGAGAAAGTTTAGAGACAATGTCAAAAGCCAAAAGTAAACAGTTGTGATATTTGCATCCCTAGGCAACAGTGCATCAAAAACAGACATGACTCGTAGGAGGCAGCTCAGGAACATTAAAAACATGCTGTGAACACAGCAGGAACTCTTTCATGCAACTAAAAACCATATCTAAATGCTGCAGCGTCCTCTGAATCCAAATCTGCTCTGATGTTCTGAGGCAAAGTGGAAAGCTGCCCCTGTGGTCTGACAAATCAAAATTTGCAACAGTATTTGGTAATTATGGACCCCGTCATCTTCCAGGCTTATAAGGGGGTAAAAGGCCATCTGGCTTCTGATCAGCAGTTAAAAAAAAAAAAAACAGCATTTGTGAGAGAAGCAGAGGTGTATAATGAGCAGAACTTGTACATCAGTAAAGTTAATGTGCAAGTTATTAATGCTTGTTAGATTAATGCTAAATAAAACTGTACACAGAAACATAATGCTGCTTTACAGAYGATGTCTTGCTTATTTTAGCAAGAAAATACCATATGACTGCTGAATTACAGCAACTTGAGGGTACTTGGATGAACTCCAGATAAAATTAAAATTTAAAAAGGTGATTGGTTATAGTCCATTATTATTAAATTCTCAAATTGTTACAAAAGATAAACAGTATACAGATACTATGACTGTTGTCATGATGCTCTTGTTTAACAAGGTTTTAAGAATTTGTGTATTTAAACCAGCAGCATGTAAGGTCACAAGCCTTGCTCACCAACATTTTGTGGGTCAGAAGCTAAAATATTTGGGAATCATGATGTTCTATTTAGCAAGAACAGATTCACTTTTTCCTACAAAACTTTTGCAATTGATCCTTTGTTCCCAAACTGTACTTACAGTAAACATCCAAATATCCTTATTTTAAATAATTACCAAAAAGAAAACCAAAAAAAAAAAAAAAGAAAAAGAGAACATTTTTAAAGATAAAATCTTATACAAAGCTGTAACTTCAATATTCTCAAAATCATTGCATTATGTTGTTTTTCTATTTTTCATAGAGAAATAAAAACGTAAGAAAATTAGTGTTCAATACGGCTGAGGTCAAYATTAAAACACCAGTGTTAAATAAAATGAATTGAGGAAGGAATAAACCATACAACCCCAGAATTCTGGCTGTGAGTGAGGTTTATTTGTCACCAGCTGACAAGCCAAACCACACTGGTTATAACCAGGGWATGGATCAGTATATATACAGAATCTTCAATGCCTGAGTTCGCCCCCTGCTGACCTACGGCTGAATCACCGGCATTCAGACAAAGACCTCACCCTAATGTTAACACAGCTTTTAATTTTGTGTTGTATATGAATTCGGACATGTAGCTACTCTATTTCAATTAACACATAATAGATCAAACATTATAAAAGTATTGTAAAATAAGGAAACCCTATACTCTGGTGTAGTTTTCTAATATCAGTATTAATCTATCAATAACTAAATTTCTTCAAAAACAAATGCTGAAACTTCACATATTTGTTCATTTTCTTGTAAACAGTTAAAAGCATGCAGTCATGCCATCAAGGTGTTTTCTTTGTGGAAGTTCACATTCAATCTTTAAGTGAGCAGTCAATGATGCAGGAACCTGCTTCTACTCTATCCACAAACTTCAGTCTCGGCTGACAACAAGGTGGCTCTTGCCTCGTGGAGTCAAAGGTTGAAGTGGATTTATAAAGGCAGCGACTTCCTTTACACAACTCCTACAGATTCAARTCTTGTTATCATGCCAAATAAGAACAAGTGCTTCAGTGTACCACTCTTCTGCTGGCACTTGGTGCACATCAGTTCTGCAGACAGCACTGCACTGGGGCCATGCGAAGCAGCGTGGAGAGCAGGCGGGGGTTCTGAACAGTCCAGTTTCTAGCTTCACAAAGCTGAGCTCTGCTGCAAAGTCCTGGACGTAAAGTAGGTCAGCAAACTGACAGAATGAGCTGCTGATGAGTAAGATGAGATGCATGCTGATCACTGCTGCCCTGTGGGGAGGCGAGGCCATGCAGAGGCCATGAAACGACACGGTTAAGAAAAAGATGGGGAAATGAAGATAYGAGCTAAAGGGGGGGCAGAGGCGGTGGTAGACGAGGGGGGAAAAAAGTGCAGAGGCATGAGAGGGGTCCCGCTCGTACTGCAACAAGAGAGAATTGCAGCGCTTTACCTGTCTGTCCCCTGAGCACACATCCTCAAAAAACATAAATCCACCGATCTGGAGCATGTAATGACAGAACAACCAGTGAACAACACAGATTACACAGCCATGAGCATGAAAACACAGATAGCAAGAGGAAATTTGACTAGAGCAAGAGTGTAAATAGGTTTTGTTTTGGCTGTAGGCTGTTTAGTCACAAGACATGGGGGAAAGCCAGAGAAATGCCAGAGAGGAAGCTGAAAATGGATCAGAAACATGACCCATAAATACCAGGGCTATATTGCTGCAACATTCACAGCATGGCATGATCTGCTGGAGAATTTTAAAAAAAATTAAACCAAAATATGTACAAGTAAAAAAAAAAAAAAAAAAGTCTGATTTTTTTTGCTCATTTTTCTACCACTCTGCTTTCACTTTCTCAAACGAAGCCCCACCACCCAAAGTGAAACATGTTGACATGCAAACTCTCATCCTGGTGCTAAGAGCAACCAAGAGAACATTAACAAGATTAGATCACAGTAGACGCTGCTTACTCCAGACACTCTTAATATATCAGCCTAGGACAGACAAAACTCGAGCCAAGATCGACTCCCCCTCCTTTATTTGAACCCACAAGTTGGCAAGATGGCCACTCATCCTCCCTGTACACTGAGCATACAACTCACCAACACCATAACCTGAGACCCAGGCAGTGGTGAACACCTGCCGAGCACTTAAAACTGATACTATTTGATTACCATCCTGCAGCTCTGAAGAAAACACGGGCAGCCTAGACAGAAGTTCACCGATATGGCATCTCCTATAGCACTCAGCGCTTTAATGCCCTGTAATCTTCCCCACACCAAGCTGGATTTACATTAAGAGGTTAGTAAGTTGTGTTGAGAGTATTAAAATAGGGAGGAAAAGTCAATTAGGAAATGAAATATTAATGAACTCAGAGGAGGGAGGAAGGATAAAAGTCTGGTCATGTGTCCTGTGCAGCATAACAAGACTGTGAGAGATCTGGACTAAAGCGAGGCTCGACACAAAGCTGATGCGAAGTAAAGAACGGCAAGACTTGCTGTTTCAGAGAAATCAATGCCAAATGCAATTTTAAATCGCCAATAAACTCAGTACACTTTAGCTTGCTCAACTGCTGAGTGCGTCGGTCCATTCACTGAGCCAAAGCATTGATTTTAGCTTCAAGCTTAAGTCATTTATTCAACAAAAAGTAGAATTTTGCAATTCAAATTATATATCGGGTAACTGATCAAACATCTAAATGACAAGTCAAGTAAATTCATCATCGGGCTGCACCGATTAGTTGAAATAATCGATGACGTCGATTATGTAAATTTGTCGATGCAGATTTTTTATTATCGATTCATTGTATTACATAACCACCACGTGAATGTTCATGCAATTCCATTTTGGTACCTAAATGCATCATTGGGACCGTATTGGCATAAGAGTGGTGAGTTTTCCATGCTTGTCCTGAACGCAGCATTGCACAAGAGCGTAATGACGTCAGCAGCCGCTGGTTCAGTTCAGTCTGAAGCTTGAAAACAAGCCTCGCAGCTCCTGGAGTAAAATTTACC